CCACCACATGTTTTGAACCAGCCATTACTCTCCCTTGCTTTGTCTAGCCCAGTAAACATCTCCCACCCAAAAAGAAAATCTCTCATCCCGCGCCTTTGATTGTCTCAAAACAGCGTCATGAATCCATGATCCGAATGCTTGACACCCTCCTTACCGACGTACATGTCCCGCCCGTGCAGTAAAGAAGGGATGGCGCAGTGCATCAGCCGGCTTCATCCTTTTGTCGGGATTGAGTGTAAGACAGTGCTCAAGGAGATCAATGAAGTGGTTCAGGTCCCTCGTTTCCGCGTCATTCATCCCTGACGACGCAGCCATGAGTCTTGTCCGTAGGTCCCGGGTTGGCTTTACCACCGCCAAAGTTCGGACGTTTGTCTGTAAGCACAGTTTGTTAGTTATCCATTCCTGACTCATAGTTCTAAAATGGGAAAAGGAATTCTCCATGTGAATGCGCATGTCAACAAGGGCTGAGCGCTTGGCCAAACTCTTAGCAGCCGTTGAACTCGTATGCAAGGGATATGTAGGTCATCGTGGCTGACGCTGAGAGGGAGTCCGATCTACCGAGACAAAACAAGTCATGCGACCTGATCTTTAACCTTGAAAGGATCTCGAGGCGTTCTGTAACCCCATCTCATCACACCATCCATCCCTTGCTGAGTTTGTTCGAGAACCCCGCAAGGGCGGCTGAGATCAAACATGCCTGATGACTGTTGTTTTGATCTATCGACCGTTATGTGGGTGGTGTTGGTCAACGTCAAGTTACCCCACATATCCCGAGCGCTTCAGCCTGCAAGGGATCTAGGCGCTTACGCTCGCAGAGCCCCATGATGGAACAGCCCCCAGCCATTGTGGCAAAAATAGCATAAGCTTCGCGTGGGCGGCCACCAAGAACGTGGCCATATGGCGCTTGTAGGCAGATGCAAGGAGTGTGATGGCAAAAACAACAACAGAAACAACGTGGAGGGAGTGAATGGAATCACAACATACCTTTCCGAGAACCTTGTCTCGTTCGATGCTGACGAATTGTCCCTTGTCATCGAAATGAGCTGGCGATAGTTGACCACGCTTGAACAACTTCGGCGTTAACCTTCCTCTGATCTCCATAATTGCCTTGAGCATCTGGTTGTTGCTGTCTCCAGCAAAGAGGATTTTGCCGGTGTACATCTCATACAACGTGCAGCCGATGGACCACATGTCGACGGCGTAATCGTAAGGAATGCCCAGAATAATCTCCGGCGCTCGGTAGAATCGACTGACGAGGTATGGAGTGACATCCATGTGCGCTGTCGCCGCATCCGTCTTGTCGATAGCCGTACCCAAATCACAGATCTTGAGCACGTTGTGACTCTCGTTTACCTACTAAAGTTAGCACTTGCGTGTGTTAATGTTAGCATCGTGGGGTTACATACCAAGATGTTGTCCGGTTTGAGATCAGCATGAATGATACTGCACTTTCGCATGTGCGCAAGAGCGACAAAGATCTGGTATGCGTATGCTCGCGTTGCTCCAAGATTGATACCCACATTGTTACCAAACTTCCGCAAAACCTCTCGCAAGTTCATGCTCAGGTTCTCGAACACCATGCACAGATGGCCCTTGTAGTCGAACTGGCGGATAAACTTGATGATGTGCTTGCGTCCCTCAGGGTCGGCCTCGTTGAGCTTCTCCAGAATAGCAATCTCTGTATATCCTCCCTTTCGGAGGGCGTCATTGTTTCGCATCATCTTGATGGCGACGAGCTCCTTCGTGGTGATGTCGACGGCACGGGCTACCCCTGAGAACATACCCCTTCCCAATGCTGCCTGGATCTGATACCGACCATTCAAGACTTCACCGATGCGAATCTTGTAGTAGCCATCTTTGTCGTCACCTTCGAGAATACCTCCCTTGATAGCTGGGACATCAGGGGCCTTGCCGTCGCCATCGATAGGCGCGACCGGCTCGACAGGTTTTGTGGCATACTTTTCCTCGTCAAAGTCTTCCGCAAACATATCGAAGTCATCATCGTCATCATCACCGCCGGTCTTTTCGGTAGACTCTTTCTGAACATCTTCCTGTGGCTGTTGTTCCGTTGCAATGGGATGCTGCTCACCATGAAGTACGACGTTTCCGTGCCGGAGCTCATGTCGTCGTTCATCCTCCTTCATGTCTCCAGTAGGATCGTAGTCAGCGGCTGAGGGGCCATCCTCCTCGTCTGGCTGAGCCTTCCCGTGGCTGTTCATCAGGTTTCTGTCATCGAGAAAGTTGATGCCCCCAGGGGACATTTCGGTATGTGACCCGGGAGAGCGCGGTGATGCGATGTCTGCACCTCTGGTCAATAAGATCCCTCCACTAGATGCTGTTGACATACCTGATCGGGGAGTGCGGGGGCTTTCAATGTCGGATTGTGCTCTCATGGGCGTGTCGGGCGCGGTGGACGCAGGAGAAGCTCCGTGAGCTTTACTTGCAGCAGCACCTACAGCATGGAGAAGGAGAGGAGTCGCAGAACTGTGCTTAGCCAGGATCTCCTCACGTCGCTTGCGGCGTCGCTCGATTTCAGCTTCTTCGTCAAAAGGCTCAGGCTCTTCGTAGTCGGGTTCTGGCTCAGGTTCCGGTTTTCGTTCGGGTTCCTTCTGAGCTGCTGACTCCCTATAAACATGTCAGTGCTTCGTTCAACCAAGGAATGTGAATCAACATACCGCTGAGAAGCCTTGGAAGTGCCATGTCCATTTGTAAGGCCTTGTTCAGGTTTAGCATGATGTCCTTGGGCGCGTGAAGCCTCTCCTACAGTCGTCCTCTTGGACATAGAACCGCCATTTCTCGAGCTGTCTTCATACTTAAGTTCCCTCGGCCCATCGTCGCGACGATCGTATTGGCCTTCTCTGACAAAACGATCAAACCTGCCTCTATCTGAAGGTCGAGATCTTTGAGGAGAGCGACTCCTGTTTCGAGGTCGTTTGTTGGAATACCGATCTCGGTCTCCATCGCGGTAGTTGTCTCGGTCGCGGCTCCGATCGCGGCCCCCGTGGCTGAAATTTGATGTGCGCGATGCAGGTCGATCTAGGTCATCGTATTGTCCTCGCGGCTTGCGATGGTCGTCACGTCGCGCATCCTCGTAGTTCCGGCGATAGCCTTGGTCGCGAGGCCTGGAGTTGTAGTGATCCCTATCCCTGTCTCTTTCGTCGTGCGATCGCTTGTAGCCACGGGGTGAAATGCTTCGTCGTGACCCGTTGCTGTATCTAGAAGCCGAATCGTGATCCGGAGTGGAAAGTCTACTTTTGTTTCTGTCTTGACGGTCAACACTGCTTCCTCCAGTATGCTGCAGTGAAGTTGCCTTCAAATCTTTAGCGGCGTTCTCGACGATCTCGCCTTCGTCCGAACTCGACGCCATGATGACGACGGGGCTATTTAGATCCTCAAGGCCTTAAAATGGAGAGAAGCAGGAACTGTGTCAGCGCTGGGGACTAGGAAGAGCAGAGTGCAATGGGAGAAGAGCCCAACCGGATCAGTAGTGACTCGTAGAGGCTCAGAGCCGATAGGGGAGGTAATGTAGCGGATGAAGGAAGACTGGAGCGCAGTCCAGATGGAAAACAAAAGTAGTTAAGCGAATTGGAAACTCTGAGGCGAGGGAGGGGTTGCAAAACCTAAGAAGGTATCGTGACGCGAGATGAAAGTTATTATCTGAACCGAGTATCTTTAGACTTTTTGACGTCAGGTAACAGCGAAACAACTGATGGATGAGGCTACAAGGCCCATTTTCTGGATTAGCTAAGCCCCGAAAGACCCTTATCCATCTTATCGAGCTTATCCCCGCGGTCGAAAGTGGGCTCACCGCTGCCAGCCAGTGAGTGGGCTGGGCTGTGCTGAGCGCGAGAGGGCCTGGACAAAAGTCAATAAGCGGGAGGCAACTTTTCCCTCTCGCGACAATCTTTGTTTCCTCAACCGCAGCTTTGCCTCCTTTTAAACACAACTCAAGACTCTCTTTCACTCTACATATATCAAAATGGGCGGCGCTAACCGAGAAGGTTTGCTCAATCTCTCCGACTAAATTCCTACAGAGACAGAAAACTAACCCCTCCAAACCACAGGCGGCAAGGTCAAGCCCTTGAAGCAGGCCAAGAAGGCCCAGAAGGACCTCGACGAGGATGACAAGGCTTTCCTCGAGAAGAAGCGCGCCGGTACGAACCTCAAAAGGCGAAAACCACAAAGAAACATCACACTAACAACTGCGATACAGACGAGAAGGCTCGCAAGGAACTTGCCGCTAAGGCTGGAGGCAAGGGCCCTCTCAACACCGGTGGCCAGGGCATCAAGAAGAGCGGAAAGAAATAGACGTTTCGCCTGGTTCTAGCGACGATTGAGCGAAGACTCGAGATATCCCTGGCGGCTTTGGATGGCGTGAGCGCATCAGACAGGCAGCCTGCGTGTTTTAGGCGTTTTAGACATTGGCGCTCACTGATCACGATATTTTCGCGCGATGGCTAACGATAAATGAATTCTATGCTGACACAAATGCTGACTGCAGTGCCTCGTTATTTCCGTGCAATTCAATTTGAGAGTAGTCATGATCGTAGAAATGCTAGAACGTCGATGTTATGATGGTAAAACCTCCACTGTATTAGTGCACCTCGCTTGTGGATTTCTCCAGTGAACAGCAGATCTCTCGCCAAAGACTTTCATCTCCATTTTCAAGTCCATCATAACTTCTTTTGCATTAAAACAGGGTCTTCGACTAAAATCGAGTGGAACTTCTACGACGCTTCTAGAGGCCTTCTTTCGTTAACCGTCCATCATCGATTTGTCTTTAGCCTCGGAGCACGTTGCGTGTCTTTTCATGTGCTTGTCCCAACAAAACTACCCTGGTCCAACAACACAACAATAAACGACCGGAGAAGTGGAACTTGGTTCATATATAAATCGAGAACTAGGACGCAGGGACAAAAGCTAATTGTCGGTTAATGATTCTATGCAAAGTTCCAGAACCTAGCTGCCTTTGTTCCAAGTCTGGATAGCCTCATTTCATCATGGCCGAAACTCAGCCCTACGGCGTTCGCAATCGCCGGCCTTCAGCCACAGACAACCTTATCAATGCCGCCAAGAGCTTCGAATCAAAGGTCGAGCAATCTCTTCTCATTCTCTGGGATGAACTCCCAGCCTGGCGTCGCGACAATGCCTTCATCCTTTCGGGCTACCGCCAATCTCACGGCTCTTATGCCCATTCATTCCGCTCCCTCTTCTACCTCCACAATGAGTCCGTAAACATCTGGTCTCACCTCCTCGGTGCCATAGTCTTTCTCGCTAGTGCAGCATACGTTGACCGAGCTGTCCGTCCACGGTACGAAAGCGCAAGTAGCGCTGATGTACTCGTCTTTGCATGCTTCTTTGGGGGCGCTGTTGTGTGTCTGGGGATGAGTGCCACGTACCACACTCTGTCGAATCACAGCGATACTGTTTCGAAGTGGGGGAACAAGTTGGATTACACAGGCATCGTGGCTTTGATCGTTGGAAGCTACGTTCCAGCTCTGTATTACGGCTTCTTCTGTCTGCCTAATCTGATGGCCTCCTATCTATGGGTTGTAAGTCTATGATGTTGTTTACTGATGGTAGAGAAATTCACTGACAAAGTAGATATGTATACTCGGTCTTGGATGCACAATCGTTTCATGGGTCGAGCGCTTCCGGACCCCCGCATGGCGTCCGTATCGTGCAATGATGTTCATCGGCCTTGGTCTATCTGGCGTTGTCCCTGTCATCCATGGCCTCTTCATCTATGGTTACCAAGGTCTTGAAGATCGCATGAGTCTAAGCTGGGTTCTCCTCCACGGTGTCATGTACATCTTTGGCGCTGTACTCTATGCGGTATGTCCTCCCTGACTCTTCACGTAAAGCATCCAAATCTGACTTGATAGGCTCGTTGGCCCGAGAGAAGCGCACCTGGCGCCTTCGATATCTGGGGAAGCTCGCATCAGATCTTTCATATTTTCGTCATCCTTGCAGCCGTTACACACTTTTACGGTATGGCCAAGGCTTTCGACTACCACCACACCATTATGGGTTCTCAATGTCTCATGGACTAATTTTCTTCCTCTTCTGTTATCGTCAAGCCGAGATCTGTGATCCTCACCAGACCTGAGCCCATCGCCACAGCAGCCCAACATCCATACTCTTCGTTAGGATTCCATTCGGCCACCGTGATCCTTGTCAATGGCTCGTAGATGATGGCTCGGGTCGGATCCATGATTGCGCCCCCTTCTTCTTCATCGTCTCCGACAGCTGTGTCGGTATCCTTCTTCTTTGGCTTCTTCCCTTTCTTGACCGGCGGTTTATGGGCCGAATGCTTAGTTAGGCCGCGCTCCAATATGAAGCCTGTCGCTATTCTTGACACTCCTCGTGCCGCCGCGGGTGACCCGGCTGGGAAAAGCTTTGCGGGGCGATGCTCATGATGGAAAACTCGGATGCGGTCCGTGGGCTCACGCCTCGTGGTGAAGAGTTCAACTTGGGGATTGATAGCCCACAGTGAGCCGTCTAGAGAACCGACGAGGAGGTATGGGTGTGTTCGTCCGACTGCTAGACAGGAAGGGAAACTTTCCCCTGTAAAGACGCGGCGCGCAACAGGGAATTGCGAATGGTGCATGAAGCCGATGTGGGTATTGAGCACACCGGCAGATGGATATATGGAGTAGAAACCAAGCAGGTGATCGCTGTATCCAAGCAGATTCGGTTGTGTTCCGACTGTAAGGTTCTGGACTTCGGTTGACTCGTAGCTTGGTGCACGGAGGTCAAGCAGCTTGACAGTTCCGCCGACAGGGGTTGAGGCAACGAGATAGGGCATTGCTGGATAGCCAGAGACGAGATCGACCACGATGTTGTGGTGGACAGGATGTCGAGATAGGAGGCGATGAGGACGGAGGGACCAAAGAGCAATAGAACCGTCAGTATAACCTACAACCAACCGATTGAAGTTGATCCACGTAAGAGCTGTCGCCTTGGCATCTTCATCTGGAAAGCCAAATACAGCTATTGGCTGCACAACCTTTTCTGAACACTGTTAGCTATTGGACTGGTACCAGTAAGACACTGAACTCACCATAACTCCCTCCTCCGCCGTCACCAGCTTCCACTACGTACACGTTTCCATCGTCGCAAAGAATGGCCAAGAAGCCGCATGCAGGACTCCATTTCACTCTTCGAGCCCGCCCAAATTCGAGACATATCGTCTTGCGCAGTATCGGAGGTTGCATTGAAGGTCGAGCAAAGCCATTCTCTTGCCTCTCTCCGACGAACTCCCATAGCTGCACAGTACCGTACTTTTGGAACTCTGGATTCAAAGATTCCTGTTCGTAATCGTAGAGTTCCTGATCGGAGTGTGGAATAACGCACAGGGCTAGAAGTTGCGGCGAGTTGGCGTTGTTCAGAGGCGCCCAGTCCATACTGGTGACGATACCGCCGGCATCTAAAATCCACCCAAGGGGCGCGTCGTCATTTTGCATTGGGAGGCCATTCTGAGATATAGAGTATGCGTCACCAGGTTCGAATTTGACCTCTTGTTGCGATATGGGCGGCCCTAATAATACTGGCATTGGCTCTCTCTTAGACTGGTATCGTGGAACTTCCTCAGTCGACAGTGGTACCATCGCGTCGGCTTCTGGCAAACTCTCCCTGACGCGCTCATACCAATGCTCGGCGCTGTAAGCCTCCCTTTCGAAATAGCTAGGGGACCAAACACCTCGATCTTTCTGACCCTCATCATCCTGAATTTTCGGAGGAAGCACTGTCCAGTCCATCCAACGATCCAGCATACCCGTGACCAATTTGACACCATCCTCATGACGTCCGTACCATGCCTCAACGAGCTGCTTGCCTTTAAATCCGCGGTCGTAGGGCCCCCAGTACGATCTCACAATGCGTCCATCCGCCACAGGCTCAAGATCGAGGTATCCAGTGACGCCCGCTGCACGAACGTTGAAGGGCCTAATAGGCTTGACCCGTTGACGCGAAAATCTGTCCAGAATGCCATCTGGTTCGCTCACAGGACCGTCGGATTCTGCATCATCATTTTCGTCGTGCTCTTGACCAAGGGCGAGCTCTTCGGCACTTTCTTCTGCAGCGGCAGCCTCATCAAAGTTTTCGTCCCGCTCTGCGTGCTTGGAAGCGCGATCTAGAGCTTCTTCGTCGGAACTACCTTCGAAGTCGTACTTCTCTACTGTATATCGCTTCGTGCGATTGGACCTCCGAGTTCTCATGATGAGTTGTGAGTGATAGAGATGGAAGCAAGCTGGGTTGGGATGGAAGTGTACTGAGACAAATTTTAGTGGGGAGGCTACCCTGTGCAGCTCCGATGACACTGGTCTTACCACTGACTTCAGGTTCAAGTCCCTACCTAACTGAAGGACCCAATACCTAAGTATGTACGAGGTTGCTAAGGTAGAGTTAGAAAATAAATAAAAAGTTGTCGCATTTACTAGACTGCCTCAAATGTGATTATTATATTAATCTGTAGCTTGTCTTGCTTAAGAACGCCATAGTCTCTGTCGTCCTCTGGGCGCTTTTCTTTCTCACCAACTCTAATTAACACTGGAACACTTCTTCTTATCTGAGAAGTGAAAAGTCTCAAAGAATTGGTTACATATATTGTAGCACTCACGAAAAACATCGTCTTAATCCGTTGGGCACGAGGTTTTATGGGGAGAACAAGTGATCAAGTGCCTTCTTCTTCCTCTCTAAGAACGTATTTCTGTCACCCAAAGGCCTGTTCGCAATCTCTCAATGTCCTCTACACGTTTCTGGTGAAGCAAGAATGAGTTTGCTATAGCTAGCATTGCCAATAGCTCAGAAACAGGGCTTGTAGGAGACACATGAGCCGTGTCTCTTAAATAATGGGGTTGATGGTATCGAATTGTCTGATCTGGTTGCTTAAGTATCCCATTGACATTGGTCAAGCTACATGATGCCCTTCTTTCGTCGTGGCCTAGCTGCGTGAAGATTTGTCCGAGACGTCAATGGTGAGGTAGGGTACGATACGCGATAGATTCCTCGTCTTGTTGGCCGTGCGAGAAAGAAACATACTTGGACCCGTTGATGCTCCCTACAAGTATTTCCCGTCGCCACTCTCTGCGAGCTTCAAGCTTGGCTGACTAGAGATGACAATTAGTAAATAAGAGATAAGATTCATGTATAGAAGTTTGGAACTTACGCATAAGCCTCTAATCCTGAGGTCGAATATCGGTTTCCTTAGGAGGAGTCTTAGGTGCCAGACCCTGGTTCGTCAGGTCATCGAGCATCTTGTTGATGGCATCAAGCCTGTCTTTTATGGGCTGCAGCTCCTCATGAAGGACACTCTTAATGAGTTCCTCAAGTTCCTTCTTTGAAACGCGTACAATAGTACCTGGCATGGCTGCGCTTTGCACGCAATGTTCTTGTCTTCTAGTGATTGAAAGGCTCGGTGAGGTGTCTAGACTGACTGGTCTGGTAGATAGAATTGGTGATGATATCTGAATGAATAACTTGAGATTGTATAGTGGATTGATGGATTTTTGGTTGATGGTGTGTGCTTGCAAGAAGAAAAAGACGAGAGAGAAGATGAGTAGAGTCTATTGGGATTTTGTGAGGGCTAAGTACTGAGGAACCTTTCGTTAAAGCTTGTGAAGGTGGTTTGATAAGTATTGAGTTCAGCCATTCTGTAAACTTGGCAACTCTACGACATCATGCTGGTCGTTGGGGCCAAGATGGTCCAAGTCTGGCTGTATGCCGGGACATCAACGGGGAGGGTTGGATCAACGAGAGAGCTTCTTACTCAACGACACCAAGGAAAAAAACCAAAAAAACCCCCCAAAAAAACCTCGTTGATCGAGTTGACGGACAACAGACTCGTGTTGAGATTCAGAAGGATGATCCGGAGTCAGTGTACCATCGTCCAGATCCTTTACGGATCAAACCCTGCGTCCTTTACCCCCCTGAGGTAGACATCGCTTCGAACCTATCTGCCCCCTCTGGCGTGAAACAGCAACGGGCTCAGTCAACAGATCCCATCTTCAAGCAGGGTTCGAACTTGTTATCGCGACACACTGGCTTGACCAAGGCGAAGGTTTCTTCATCATCCAGCTTTTCATTCGCACTGATGCCCCGGTTCTAAAATATGCCCCGGGAACACCCAAAGAGCACCTTGGTTTGGAGTCGGGCAGTAAGCCATTTTTCAGACAAGACCATTATGGAAGTCCCGATTAGAATAGTGGCCATAGAATCTGTGCGGCTCGCAAACTTCACAAACCACGTGGAGATTGGCCTCTGCCTTCGATGCCTTTCCACAGCCAAGGAGAGCTTCGTTGAACGAGCGCGTTACTGCTTCACAAGGCGGCATCTGTGGTAAGCCCACAAACAAGGAAGAATGGTATCAAGTTTCGTTGGACGACATCGGGATATCGAGAAGCAACTTTCGCGTCTGTAGGGATCATCGATAACATCAATCACGCAAGCGCCTTTCGTCTCGACAGGAAAACCTTGTCCCATGGAGCCTTAACTGGTAAATGAGAACTGGCTCAACAGCCTGGGTGTTGGCGGACACGTCGGCACCTGGTGCTGTGATATTCGATGTTCTAGAAGGCTGAGTCAATCTTACAGTGAAAAGTTAGCCGTCGATGAATGTTTACAATGACAATAAACGAAAGACCTATGCGAATTGCTAGAGTGACACCCATAATCGTCAAACCATAAGATAATCGTGAGCTTACAAAGACATATTTCGCCTCCGAATCTTACCTAGGATCCTTCACCCTCCACAATCAGGCCATATTTACATATCGCTATATGAGCCCAATGAGCCTCACAGCAAGGTCAGTCATCTGGGATCCGATGGCCTCGATCCAGACTGACCTAGCGCGATGCAGAAGCGTCACAACACCCATTCAATCGGCTCGCACCTGACCTGCTCAGGATGATCCTGAAGCTCGCTGTCGTGACGAATAAAGCTAAGATCCTGCCAGAGTGCAAGACATTGTCTCAACCCAGTGCAAAGGCATCCGTATACATAGATTCGCTATTGCCAATAAGACTGGTGCGCCGCGACTTCAACGCCATCATCAAGAACATCTTCTCATACTCCGGAGAGGTGGTGTCAAGAGAAGACCTCGACGCCTTTCAATTTGAGAAAGAGTGGTCGGCACTCACCCCCCTCAGCCCCGAACGCAACATCCAAAGAATCTCCAACACGACGATACCGCGACTCAAACGCAGCAAAGACGCGGTTCCACCCACATCACCAGCAAAACGCCTTATATATATCACCCGAGACCACACCAATGTGCTCTATTCCATGCCCAAGCGGGAATGTATCGCAATGATAATTGCGCTCCGGGTGCTCTATGGGTCAGACATCGAGTAACTCACTGCAGAGCCTCGGGGCATCCGAGACGTCTGCCTCGGCAAATAAATATGACATGGTGGAGAGGTTCTGCCCAGCGGCGACAACAACCCAGCCAGACCACCAGGCCGCCTACCTGTTCCGATTGGAAAGGTAGTTCTTCAGTATCAGCAAGTCTTTTATTCGGACAGGCAGGTCTCTGCAAGCCAGCATCATGCAATAACCATCGCAGTAAGCTTCCACGACGAATTTGACTCCACATGTTCAACAGTATATCGTCCCCCAAGTTCATCTGAGGATGTTTGGCTCATGTTGCGCGCCACGTCCGAGGCTTGCGTAATGTTTCCTCATAACAGAAGATGACCAAGTATGAACCTAGGAAAGTCTACCGGCCTCCAAATCTATTCATCGACTCACATGGTTTATCGCGGCAATGAGCTTTAAGAAAAAGGGTATTTTTAGTTGCTACAAAACGTTACCTAAAGATGCCCACACTGCTAGCGGCAGCACAACTTCGTCACTTACACAGTCAAATGAGTGGCTTGGGGGGAAGGACTGAAACTGCAAAGAAAAGCTTGATAAGCTGCGCTTTTTACCATATGAGATTAAACAATTGAAGAAGATTTCAGAAAAACAGAACAAAGAGTACATGGAGATATGAGGAAGACTTTATTTACATTATAAGCTGCTCATTGTAAACAGTGACTCGGCCTGGAAGTTCAGGGCCTCCTAGATACCGATTTCTATGTGATGTTTTGTAAGCCAGGATCAACGCTCCAGAATATGTAGTGAATAATACGAGTTGCTTTTGAATATATAACCAAAGAAAGCCAAACAGACTCTCCAAATTCGCTTCTGTATCTCGACACATGAGAGGCGCAGCCTTATCGTGAACCAAGTAAACAACGCTAACAGTGGCAGTTCTCGTACACTGAATCCCCCTTTCCGTCATAAGAACCCACCAACTTGAGTACTCCTGGCAGAAAGAAGACAAGGTAATACTGAATGAGAAATCTTACTAGCTGATTGAAGTGCTGGAACATTAATGCCTCGTCAGATGAAGTCAGAAGGGAGGATTTGATGCCCAGAGCTTGAACATGGAAGAAGGGTCACACGGGCGATGGAACATGGTGCATATTTAATAACTGGGATTTATGAAATTGATAGACTGACCGGCAAACTTCAGGCGGTATAGTACAACATAAATCCAGTCTGCATGGCTGAGCTGCGACGTAGGTGTCAAAGGTCTGCTTCCCGCCGACGATGTGCTTATAGGTCTTGGTGTTCTCTTGGATCTCTCGAACGAGACGGCATAAGCCTGGGGAGGTGGCGAATAAGTTACTTCGTTAGGTACAACTGGACTTCACCTTCGAGCAGCGCTTGCACGAGGAACGAGAGCCGGCGATATATGCGATGGGATGGCCGTATTCGAGAAGACGCTGGATGCATTCCTTGCAGGGTACATTAGGGCCTGGGAAAGTGTAAAGTTGGAGTCGTCTGAGTCTCCTTAATAAAGGTAGTGCCCAACGGCACGCTTGTCGCTGGGAGGCCGCCAGGGGAAAAAAACAAAACGTTTAATTACAAGCGTCTAGTAACATGGGCAGAGAAGTTATAGACCGGAAAGCATATAATCAACTAGGATGCTTGTTCCGCCACTCATATTAAAGACCCAAACTTAGCATTGAACCATGGCTTGCCTTTGTCTTGCATTTATGCAGGTCACTCTTCCTCTCCGCCGATGTATCTGACATGGCCAGACTCCCGTGCACCCGCCAATGCGTAGATTGACACAATCAACCAGACCGGTGGTTGGATGGATTGGGGCAACCTGGCTGCATGCCCACGGGATCGCCTGCCGTAATTTTGAAGCACCGTAGACATAGGCCTCCCTTTGGATGCCCCATGTGCTGTGAGAGTGCATAGTGAAACATAAGAAGGGCCGTTGTTCTCAAAAGTCAGCATCATATCACAACAAGATAAGAGGATGTATATTGGTAAGAACTCACTGCCTAGCTTTAGGCCTAGGCCGACAACGTGAGTCTGGTGAGCCAGACGAAAGATCTGTGCGTGGTTCATCTTTACCACGACGTGTTCGCTCATGGCTCTAAACGAACCTTCGAGGTTGAACCAATATGAGGCCGTCATCAGCTTCCAAGCTTGGTCGAGGTTGACTGGCTCGCAGCTCATCCAGCCAGTGGCAGCCATGGAAAAACGAGGCGACATATTGTATTTGTCTGCGAAAATGGCGACTTTCTGGATCTCATCAAGGTCGAGGAGTAGCATGTCTGGGTCTGACCCATAGAGAGTTCGTAACGCTTGGGTGGTCGCCACCCCGTCGTCTTCTGGGAGCTTGATCTCGACTGGTAGCTCATTACGCTCATGAAACCTGTTGCATTCCGAGAACTTTAGGTGCAGCATCGCGTCGAAAACCGGGGATGCCTGAATGAGGAACTCCGAAGAGACCTGGATTCGCTTCTTGCCTTGGCCGACGACGAGAATGATATCACCGCCGGCAATGACTGATTCGTCTGGGACTAAATGTGCTAGAGCAGACCTGGAGTACTGGAGGATACTATAACATACTGGTCTCTGGCGACATGGTTAATGGAGTTGAGGAGGAAAAGAGACAAAGGCGATGATACAGGACTGAGAAGCGACGGTCAATAATTTGTGGGCTCGGTTATTCTGGTTTCATGAACAATCACTGAGTGTTAGCTGCCAATGACTGACACCCGCCGCCGAGCATCCATCTTGAGGCTGCTTAATGTTAAGGTTGTCCAAAGACCCTTCGCGGGACTGACAGGGCTGGTCATGTTCATCTGGGGTTGACTCCATTAAGTCTCAATCGGGACAGCGTTAATTCGAAGCCGGGTCTTGGGTATATTATAAGTGAGACACAAGGGAAGATGTACGAACACCCGCCAGAGAGCACTTGATCGTACCGCAAAACCGTCTCCTGAGTGTTATTGACAGCAATCCCAAGTTGGTCCATTTACCATCGCAGTCTTTCCATCCTGGGCACAATATGAGGCATCAGGAATGATTGTTTCATCGTGTGTGTGCCTCATTGACTTTCATTCGCAAAGTAATAACGACTTAGTGTACGAATAATGGGGAGCATAGAAACTGTAATCCGGAGATGCTTATATAGTGACAAGAATTAAGAACTTGGAAGTGATTTTAATTCGCCATTTTTCTTGACCGACGACGAGGACTACGTCTCCGTTCGGGATAACAACTTCGTCAGGGATGTTGTTTTCTGCTGAATATCAGAGCAGACCCGGAATAGCAGATGATACTATCACATACCTGTTTCCGACGACATATTAAGCTTGTAAGGTTGGAGTAGAGAGAGTTGTATACCTAGATTTATGAAGAAGGAAAAGTTCAATGAAATTGAGGAAGTTAAGGGGCAAAGACGATGATACATTGTTTCAGCGTTCTGAGCGGCAAATTGGTCGGCGTTTATAGACATAGTTGATATAATGGGAATGTGTTGTGTTTCCAAGACCTGGCTTGAGGCTTGAGGTTCCTCAAGCTTTATAGGACTGAGAAGGTGAGCAAGTCAATAATTTGTGAGTTGCTGTTCCATTTTCATGAACAACCGCCGAGGCTTAGCTGCCAGTGACTGACACATGTCCAAAAGTGGTATATAATAAGTGGGACAGTAAATGTAGATATAAAATATAGTGCACATGACTGCGATGACCACCGGCAGGGCTGATGGCAGGGCGGTAGTAGGAAACAGCATACGGAATGACTTGGCTGCACTGGACAGGCTTGAATGTTCTGGACGGCCAGGGAAACTTCAAGTCTCTCTATCACCAGCACCATATGGAGTACCAGGAATGATTGGTTTGGTGTGTTTGTAACTATAAACTGGATCTCTGTTATAGAAAGACTTAACCAAAGGGTTGGGCTCTGTTGATCTCTGCCTCTGGTGCAACACCAGGGCCTTCCGAGGCTTTGAGGACACTCCAGGGGTGTTCTGCGGAGGTCATGCTGTCCGTTAAGTTACGAACGATAGACAATAAGAAACTGTAGCCCGGAGATGCTCATATAGTGACGAGATTGAGGGTCCAGTTGGAGACAACGGTGAAGCCTGAAAGGGAGCGGTATTGTGCAGAAAATACGGAGATATCTCTCTCGCAAAGAAATGATTGGGTTAATTGAGCCCTTATGCGAGCTTCACCAGTGGCGAGGACAAGCATCCCGTTTGGTACGAGTAGAGTTACTGAAAGAAATTAACTTCGTCAGCTGCGCGAAAGCAGGGCTCATACCACTCTTCTTGGTGTTGGGAAGAATGAGGAGGAAGTTTATGTCAATGGCTTAGAACAAAATCACCTCTATATTATACCAACGGTCAATGTATCATGTTCTATGAGTGTTTGTACCCCAAGGTGAGGCCATCTTGTGGTCTCTTGCTGTCTGTGCCTCAAACAGGAGTGTCGTAGCTCTGACATCCTGCAACGGCAAAAATGAACATGTTTTTTGCAAGACTTGAATAGAATACTTAAGTAAGAGAAATTTAATAGGATGCCTTGATGATTTGAAGACAAGTAAAGGAATGTTTTAACGATGCTGAGCGAGGGCGCTGCCTTGTATTTATAGACGGTCGCTGTAAGTTTGCTGACCTTGTTGACCCCCTTGTTTGTGTAGCCTTTTGCGATAACACTCTTGTTTCTTGTCACAGTACCGACTGATTGGTTATTGGATTGCTCTGAAGCAAGCCTGAATGATGTAGGCTCGGAGTCGTTTGACGTTGACCTCACGCAAACTTGATGCTTAAGACCAAGCAAGCAACGGAAAGGTGTTTCATACTAATTTTATGGTAACTTATGTTAGGCATTGCCAATAACAAAGCACTAAAACTCATTCACATTCTGTGACAGTTTGATATAAAGATTGCAATTCTATCCTACAATCAACATGATGATGGCAAATATCCGAGATCGAAGGGCGAGTCAATTCTGGGAGTCGGGTAATGATTCACTGCCAGCTGTTGGCACCTGTCGGGTGCTTTCAGACCGAACCAATCTTCTTATGCTTGGAGTAAGCCGTGCGAGCCTGGAGAATCAGAATATTCTCACAAACGGCATCTCTCTCTGTGCCCTTCATCTTCACCCATCATCTTCAACACGCACATTCGCGAGATGGAGAGTTCGCGCCCCGTTCTCAACGCCGACGGAGGTGATGTTCAGGTTATGTTATAGTGGTATTCCATCGCCCAGCTTTGAAAATTACTAAAATCTTAAGTAGAAGGTTCTGTAACCCAAAGCATTCCCGACGGCGATGTTATGCTCGTGGTTGGCCCAAGCCAGCACAAGATTCAGGTCTCTTCGCACTTTCTCAAACTCATCTCCCCCGTCTTCCGAGCTATGCTCAGTGCACCGATGAAATAAAGAGAAGCCCTCGAGAATAAATCCGATCATGACGGCCCTATTGAAATCATCCTCCCCGAAGACAAGGAACAGCCAATGGACCAGGTATTGCGCACCCTTTACAGCTCAGACCCAGGCGCCACGAAGTTCTCGATGAGTGAGGCCAAGGAGATCGCCATTCTTGCAGACAAGTACGGAATGGTCGAGCGTCTCCAGGTGTTCGCATCCTTCTGGCTTCTCAACGCCGCCAAGACCGACAATGTGGATGTGATTACCGAAAATGAATGGAACACCTTGGTTGTGGCATACATACTCAAGGTCGACTGGGCATTTTTCGACGTAACCAAGAATATGCGCCCGAAGACTACTAGCGTGATCGAGTTCATAAACCACTTTCACGACAAACATACTGGTCTGCGCCTTGGAAGTAAGTCACGAACTATTACAAGACATTGGCATATACTGACAATACTCATCTAGTGGCCATTGAAGAACTGCGCAACACACACCTCAAGTTGCAGGACAAGCATAATTATTGGAGTGATTGGGGCCTCTGTTTGTTCTGCTTTTCTCACGCAACCGAGTCTTTTACTCAGCAGTGTGCAGGATGTAGCTATCCTGATCGCCATGATCCATGGAGTCGGCTGAAGTAAGGGAAATTTGGGATGAGTGCATCAGTCTTTGGGGAGGCCAAAAGGAAAAAAGGAATATTTGGACCGAGTCTCCCTCAATGAACATTCTGATTGTACGCGATTTGTTTTGGACCAGTTTGAGCTGAATTCCCCTACTGCGATCCATCATTAAGCCGAGCCCTGTGCGCGATCTCGCCTCACATCTTTTACCGTGAGTAGTCCAAGATGAGAAAAGGTTATCTAAACCGAGAAAAAACAGTCTAAGATAAGAAAGACCAGACATTTACTTGCTAAAGTCAAAATGAAAGAGACCAACAACCCAACTTTTGACCAATTTTGAACTTCCTCCAACTCTTGGTAAATTCTGTGAAGATTTTGGTACTCATCGAATTCAAGCTCTCTTGAAACCCGCTAAAATAATTGTTCATGTTCTTTATGTTCAGGGCCGACACAAGTAGAAGCTTTCATAGCGCCATGTAAATATTGATTCGATGCATGGTCCAGCGCCTCCCATACAGCGAAATTGACGATGTTGTTCCAGTTCTATTGCGTACTTCCGCCTGGCCTCACGAATCGAGTCTGGTTCGATTCAAGTCAGTTATGCATTATGAAGGGGGATGAGTATCTTACAGTAGATATCGACTTCAATATCGCGAGCATCTGGCCCCGGTTCTAATAATCGGGCATTATGATATGAGTCCCTGTCCCTCACCAGTCGCTCGCTCAGTTTGGAGAATGCAAAATGGAGATCAGGGAGAGCATCGGGATCATCTAGACGCATATAATGCGCTGCCATCATCAGGTGCCAGCATTCTCCCAGACCAAAGAACTCATGTACCGGATGAAGGCTGATGCCGCAAAATCTTGGGCGGAACCAGTTTGGGGCAACCTTCTTGAATTCGGGAATCATCTTATACTTCCTGGCAAACACGACCACATCGTAGATCTCTGCTGGTAACAGATCGTCCGCATGGGGATTGCCAGGATAGATGCTGCCAAATGCGTTTCTAGTCGCGGTAGGACTGTCGTTTGGAAGCAAAAGCTCATGAACCCCACCCGTATTGTCAGCGTCAGTGATATCGAGTTGATCAAGCATGTCTGCAAGAACACTTGAACACACGCGGGCAGCCTGAATTGTGATTATGATGCGCTTTTTATCTGGTCCGACGACAAGTACAAGATTACCGTCGCTTATTATGTCTATCTCGCGTTTTGGTGTCCCTAAAGCATGGTCAGTAAAACGAAAGGAGCAAGCAAGAGGTTCCCTACCCTCAACCAGGCTTACACCCTCTTGGTTTGGCATGCTCTGGTTTGAGTCTGGCCGTGTGGTAGAGGATTCGGGACTGGGATTTAGGATCGGCATAGTGGTGGTTTAGAGATGCCAGGAGTCGTATATGTGACTTTGGAATGTGACTGGGTATCGGCGGGGGTTGTGGGAGGATGAAAGGGGAAAGGACGGAGTGCTATATACTGCGAAGGCGGATAACATGACCGGAACAAAGTGACAAGTAACAAAAAGTATCGCTTCAAGAAGACCAATGGTTTCGAGAGAGAGAAGGATCAGGGATTGGACGGGGCAGGAGAAACGAGAGCACATGGATAGGCAGTACAAACTACCAGAGAAGTCTGTGCAGAACTTTCTCGTCAAGGAAGTTGAAGAGCGAAAAGTCGACCAATAACAACAAGAAGGACGACGACGGCGTCGTGTACATGGGAGAAGCGTTGGCGAGAATAATGGCAGACGATCCCGGACCACGAACCCTTGTGGTATTTAGACGGACAGGCAGTATATACTGCCAAAGAAATCTACGCGGAGCTTGAGGATCGTGCGAGGCGCGTGATGTGAGCCATCAGCTGTGGGGGCTATCAACTCAAAATAACACTCTTGAGCTTGAGGATCAACGAAGTCGAAGAGCGAAGAGTCATACGTAGAAGTAACTAGAACTGTTGGTTGCCGGTATTGATAGGCCAGTGTTTCTCCATCTGTGGCAAGGGCCATGAAGACATTCTCAGTCTGGTACATGTATGTCACTCAAAAGCCACGCCACGAGAAAGCGCAGACACAGAATCACGAAGACGAAAAGGCAAATCAAAAGTCACTCATTTGATGCTCAGATATGCAGAGAGTCACGCAGAACGAGAGAGGCTTATCAGAGTCAATTGGTTGCGTAAGGTAGTCACGTATCACCGAAGTCAAGGTACGAGACTTCCGGAAGGTGAGCATATGCTTCAGAATAGACTCTCAAAATCTTGGGAAAACAAGATTGGAAGTTTGGACTTGAACTTTGACCAGTTTCAGCTCCTTGAGATGCGTTTGTCAATTCTTGCACATTTTCACGGTTGTTGTCTTGTCGAGGCTGAAGCGCAGAGCATGTAAGCAAGTGATGCTACGACAACGAGGTCGGCGATGATCATGAATCACCCTCCTCCAGGGAGTCCACCCAATTATAAGACCGTGTCCTCGGTATGGCTAGAAATTGGCCTACCACTTTGGCAAGCAGCCTTCTCCTCTTCCAGACTCCAAAAGACATGAGCCCCGTTGAGCATTTTGCTACACCAAGCAACACACACACACCCTTTTCTTCTTACTTGCAAGGTGCCCGCTACGCTTGGTCTCAAATGGATCTTACACCCGATCAATCGGTCATGTCGATCCCAGAAGAGGCCAACGAGACTGTGGCACAATCCAGATTTGTCCGGGACTTGATTCCAGGCGGCGATTTAATCCTCGCCGTTGGTCCCCACAGAACTCTCTTTAGAATTGCGTCTGCCTTTCTGTGCGAAATATCGCCCGTATTTGCAGTAATGTTCGGGCCCAATTTTGAAGAAGGCGACCGCCTGCGCGGTCGCCAGCCTGGAGATCCCGAAATGGTTCTCGAGCTCCCCGATGACGATCCTCTCGCTTTCGACAACACGATCCTTGTGCTCTACGGGGCCAATCCCTCGACACAAGACTTTGACCCCGAAGATATCCAGAAGATATCGATTCTTGTGGACAAATACGATTTGGTATCGCGGTTTGCTTTCGCTTCAGTGTATTGGTTTGCGAAGTATGCTTGGGCAGACGACCCTGAAGAGACGTGGCAACTCACTACTGCCGCCTACTGGATGCAAAACCCCGATGCTTTCTTTACCTTTAGCAAGAAACTAGTCAAGCAGCTGCAGCCTTCTCACTTGAGCTATGTCGCGGGAATGCCCGACAAGGAGCTTGGGCTTCGACTTTGCTGTAGGCTACCCACCAATTGTCAAACTTCCCTTCTTCCCACACATGATCAGTTGTTTGGACGGGCCTTGTGCCATTCGTGTTAACCCGAAACTAACTTTTGTCAGTGGCAATCGAAGAACAACGTGTTCACAAGCTCGCGAACGAAGTTAAAGCAAAAGGTCTCTGTTTGTACTGTTTCGGCCGGGCTAAGCTTGGGTTTACTTCGCGTGTCAAGGGGTGTAAGAATCGCAAATACCACTGATTCTGGAAGATTCCGTTCTTTTTAATTTTCGATGAACAGCCATAGCTTATAAGAGCGCGCGTGATTGCAACATTGTGGGATAGATTGCTTGGTTGGTCTGCAGTGGGCAAAGGATCAGAGCTTGGGAGGTTGTGAAGGGACACGCCTCAGGGAGCAAAATAGCATTATACTTCAGATTAGGTATCGAATTAAACTCAGTAATGGGTATCCCATACTCGTCCTAGCCTTATCATGTAGAACCGAAGTCCTGAGCTTTCTTTCCTCCCCTACCGAGATACGGTAGATAGGTAAGTAGTTTCACTGGCGATTAGTAAGTTCTAACGCATGGATGGTTTGCTACAATCGAACAATTTGGATAAGGTAGGCGTAAAAATTGTGCTCTTTTTCGCGTTATAACTTCCGAATTGTTTGCATTTGAGTTCTCACGACTTGACATTGCGAAGTCGTGAGTTGTTGTCGTTGGAATGGATTTCCCGGTGATTATCCGAACACACCATGATGCAGCAAGATCACAGGCTTCCCTTCATCAAAGGGCATCGATAATTCATCAAATACGAGGCCATGAGTGAACCGCAAAGAACAGGGAGTCAAGGGCACTCCAGAAATAAGTCCATCACGAAGAGTACGCCTCAGAATGATTCCCGTGGGAGACGTTGATGCTGCATGAGCGGGGCTTCTCATGTCTCCAAATGAGCATTGTTAACATGAGCGATACCGGTGCGACACGGCTAACTCTGTCTCAGCCCGACCGAGATCCTCTACGAAAGGACCTCTCGATCTTGATGAGTGAGTAGAACGTTATTGATGAGATGACGACCCGAGGTTGACACCTAACCCACAGTGACCCGTTATTGTCACCTCAACAAGCGAAGACCCCTCAGCGAGTAGTCACGCACCGCAATAGGATATCATCGCCACATCCGCGCTCATCTACAGCGACTCCAGTCTCGCAACTGGGGGAGGCTAGACCCAAAGACTTTTCATTTCTTCTAAGGCCAGAGATTTATCACCCTTTGACGCCTCTCAATGTCCCTGTCGCATTTCGTAACCCACAGAAGCAGCCCGATCCTGAGGCTCCCATTGAGGAGCTCCTTGCCAGCGGTCACTTCAGAGCAGCGGCTATAGCTGCAGTTCAAGAACTCACAGGCTCTGGAGCCAGTGGAGGAATCAACCCAACAGATTCCAAGAGGATATTCGAGCTTCTTTACACTCGACTAGCATGTCTTACTCTGATTGATGCGACTCCCTTGGCTGCTCAGGAGGTCAAAGCCTTGGAAGATCTCAACGACATCAGGAGGTATGTAGACGAAACTACTGGAGAGCACCTAGTGCCTTGGGAACTAAGAGTTCTCAATATACGCCTTCAGTCGCTTGGCTTCGGCGATTATCGCCGGGCTGTTATGAGTTACCACGACCTGGCTCGCGAAGCTCGTGACCGTATCAGCAAAGCGGCGGCCCAGCACGACAACTCCGCAAGGGAACTCTGGAAAGCTCGTCTCTACGATCTCGGTATCCAGGTTGCTGGAGCTCTGATTGAGCTCGAAGACCTGACAGGCGCAGCGCATCACCTTAGCACCCTGCGGGATCGGGGTGATGGCAAGATGGCACTTACCAAAGCACTTCTATGGCTACACTTGGGTGACGTTGAAAGCGCAAGATCATGCGCACGTCAAGCCATGGAGAATGATGAAAATGTCGAGAAGCTAATCCTGGCACTCTGTGACATGGCAGATGCAGAGTACGAGACAGCTCTCGAAGCATGGAAGGAATTGAAGGAGAGTTTGGACGACGAGATGGTCGGCGTCAACACAGCCGTGTGCTTGTTGTATCTTGGGCGGATACAGGAGGTATGTTCATCTGTGATACACGTGATGGCCACGTACTTAAACTTCTTAGGGACGCGCAATACTGGAGGGCCTTGTGGAATCTGGCTTATCGTCTCATACGCTGTTGTTTAACCTATCGACCATGTACGAGCTGTGTACCGAGAGGCATAAGAACTTGAAGCTCAAGCTTACGGAGAGGGTCGCTGGCTTGGAGGCTTCCACTGCAGGCTGGGAAAAGACAAACAGCGATTTCAAGCTATAGTTGTACAATCTGAACAGATTTATCATTCACTTGGGTACCTATATAGACAGGCCACAGGAAGCAAGAAGCTCATGATAATAAAACATTGTGCCAAAACTGGACTGGTCTCAAGGTCTGCAAATATGTACTAAACTTGCCCAAGTCATTTTAATAGGGGCCCCAAGTTTTCTTGCATCTTGTAGACGTGATACACCAACAACACATATTTTCTGAAATGTACCAACCGACGTTTCGAAGCCAAATGATCAAGTGTTGTGCAAACGACGCCAATCGGCCTCCTCAAAATCTCCCGAATCGTTTTCATGAAAAAAATCGTCAATCGCGATTAGTTCTTGGCTATGTGGGCGTCTTTTCCAACTGCGTCTCTTCCACTCATCCAGTGAACTGAATGAGCCATAGTCGTGCGTTGCATTTACAACAGCGCCGTTCTCCTTGGAGACGCTGAAATCGTAACTTGTTGAGCATGTTATGCAAGAACCACGAGGTACACGACTTCTTTCTACTTCCCCATTCTGAAGCGGCGTTAATTTGCGTATCAACGACCACGATGCGCGCCCGTCCTCCTTCATCAGCGACCTACCACCCAAAAGAGATATGTGGCTGCAGATAGGGACGAAAATGTACGGGGGGACGAGAGATGCAGGGAAGTCGGCTTGGAGTTTCCATTCTTCATGTAGGATAAAACGGCCATTCTTGATCTCAGGCGTGGCAGAGAAGTGCAAGATTGGTCCCAAAGAGCCGTTGGAGCATGTTTGTCGATAGGGCTGCATAATTTTTGCAGCTGCATATTTATAGAATCCTCCAAGTCTGTTGTATTTCAGTGCCAGTTGAACGTGCAGGTGTTGTAAGTCGTAACCGGTCGCACAAGTGCGCCGATGGTTGACCGAGTAATCCCAGCAGAGACGTGACTTTATTGAGGGGGCATGGCGGTTGAAAATGTGAAGCATGCAGCACTTCCCGCAGAAGTAGTGGTCTGGCATTACGTATGCGAGACCAAGCAAGAATTCGGCCCTGTCTTCAAAGTTGGTGTTGGCCAAGGTGCGGAAGTCCCTCTTTGCCAGGTACCGCATGGTCCTGCAGGTCTGTGAGAGCCAGTACAAGCCGCAAAGCTCTGTGTGATCGAGGATGTACAACACAACTTCAACTGGGAGTCCCAGAAGGCCACGGCTTCCGGAGTTTGTTGACATGATGGATAGTTGGGCTTCGAGTCGATGGAAGGATCCGGATTGAGGAACTTGGAAGAAAGGAACCTAAGGCTTGCAAGAATTTAGATGAAGTTTATTGTTGTGAGCCCTAAATTACAGTTTTTATCTTTCTATATAAACTCTGAAGATAAGAAGATATGTGAACCTAGAAAGCATCATCACGAAGTGTAATTGGGGGCATGGTACGGAGTACGGCCGGTACATTTCAGAGAAGAAGTATCGATGAAAGCAAGAATCTCAGGATACCAAACCCTTGAGATGGTGACTGCCTCTATCTCCGTGCCGAAATGATATTTCTATACAGAAATACCGAAATTCAACCAAGGTATAACTTATCATCAACGCTGATATATCACATCTCCGGGGGAGGGGGGCAAAAAAACCTGGGACCTTCTTTGGAGGTGACAAAATACTTAAGTAATTCAAGGATATTTTAGGCATTTTCACTGCGGATTTAGTGCATTTTTAGACTAAATATTTTTGACTGTCGAGGTCAAGGTCAGGATCTTTTTGCTCCCTAATGTTATCCCCCGTCAAGCCCGGAGCTACCCCACATACCGCGCCATTGAGCCTCGGCTCAAATGCGTCGATCTCGTCGATCCCCGGGGCCATTAAAGGACCCGAATCCGGGGAAATGTCCATGATTTATGGTCCTGTTCATTGTTCCAACAATTTATTTGAATGACCCAATAGCACAATCAATACACAGCAAATCAACATGTCGGACCGTGTTAGTCAACTCGCTGGTCATCTCAACTACCCCAAAGGCCTACTCGCTGGCCAAGTAGCTATCATCACAGGCAGCGGCCAAGGAATCGGTGCAGAAGCTGCCAGGCTCTTTGCCAAAGAGGGTGCGAAAGTTGTTGTTGCAGATATCGACGCGGGTTAGTGGCCTTGTTCTTTGCTCATAAAACATTAGTGTCTAACTCTGGCTCGAATAGAAAAGTCCAAGGCTGTTGCTGATGGCATCAATAAAAATGGCGGCCAGGCTATAGCTGTGCCCGGAGATATTCTCAAGGCAGAATATGTCAATGATCTGGTCAAGAAGGCTGCAGAATTTGGCGACGGAAAGATCAATATCATCGTCAACAATGCGGGCTACACTTGGGACGGTGTCATTCACAAGATGACAGACAAGCAGTGGGACACTATTCTCGCTCTTCACTGTACTGCCCCTTTTACTCTCGTCCGCGCAGCAGCGCCTTACTTCCGTGTACGCGATGGTGCCCCTCGATGCATCGTCAATATCTCATCTACATCTGGAGTGCACGGCAATGCGGGACAGCTCAACTACTCTCTTGCAAAGGCAGGTATCACAGGGTTCACAAAGACGATTGCAAAGGAGTGGGGTCCCTCCTTCGGCGTGAGAGCGAATACTGTTGCCTTTGGACATATCCTCACCAGATTGACGGCGGCGAAGGAAGACGGCGCATTTGTTACCGGGCCGGACGGTGAGAAAATCGCACTGGGTATTCCAACAAAGCAGAAGGAGGCAGCAGGGGATAATGCCCATGCAGATATTCCACTGAGGAGACCTGGTACTGCGACTGAGGCAGCGAGCGCTGTTCTGGCTGTGGCGAGCCCATTGTTTTCGTATGTATCGGGCCAGACCATCATGGTCACTGGAGGTCGTAATATGTAGAGTATATCCAGGCGACGAGTTAGATAGGACTCCCAGATCAGTCGAGGAGAGCATCAATTGACGAAGAAACGTGGTATTAGATTAAACGGTACTATACTTCCCCAAACGCCCCCATCCAACAAGATGTGTCCCTTTTGTGCATGTCATTCTCATTCTTAGACCTTGAGCCACAGGTTGAAGACACCCTGGGCATACTGAACAATCTCATCACCACCAAGCTTGCTCTCTCCATAAAGACGATCGACGAAAGAGATGGGAACCTCAGCGACGGTGCATCCCATAGCCTTCGCACGCACCATAAGCTCCATCTGGAAACTGTATCCCTTGCTCTCGGTGCTAGCAATAGCCTTCTCCAGCGCAGCACGCTTGTAAAGTCGGAAGCTGCCCGTGAGGTCACTCACGCCAGGGCGGAGGACAGTATCGGCGAACAAGTTGGCGCCACGGCTGACGAACTTGCGTTTGAGATCCCAACCAAAGACACCGCCGTTTCCAGCGTAGCGAGTACCCGTGACGATATCGTAGTTGCCCTTGGCCTGGAGAGCGACCATCTCGGGGATGAACTTGGGGTGGTGGGAGAAGTCGGCGTCCATGATGATGACGAAGTTGCCCGTGACGAACTTGAGACCGTGGACATAGGCTGTGCCGAGACCGAGTTTGCCAGCGCGGGGCTTGAGGACAACGTGGGGAGAGTAGACCTTGACGAGCTGCTGGGCAACTTCTTGGGTTCCATCGGGGGAGCCGTCGTCGACGATGATGAGTTCCCAATCGAGGTTGCTGTTCTGGTTAGCCTTTGCCTGTCAAGCCGCAGGAAGACGGTACTGACTTCTCAGTAAAGGTGCGGTTCAACAACCAGGTAATGATGGGCAGGTTCTTGCGCTCATTGTAGGTTGGCAAGATAACCGAGTACTTGTTCTTAGTTGTGGCCATGGCGGGCGATTAGAAGGGGGATATCGTTTCGAAGAAGGAGATTAAATGAGGAATCAAGCCGAAGAGAAGGAAGATCAAAGTTCGATTGCGAACGACAAAATGAGCGTGGGAAATTTGGGGGATCGCGTTTGGATGACTCGTCGTTATTCGCGTCAAGCCACTCTAAGGGGACACCTTGAAGCTGGCAATTGGGGATGGACAGGGGTGACTAAGCTCACGATGGCTGCCCCTGAATTGGATGTGGCTGTGCGCGACTTTCTGTGGCTGGTGAGGTACAAGCTCTGGTTTTGCCGATGCCGATCTGCTAACATGGATTGATTCTGGACCATGACATGACTTGCAGGTTGCAGGGCTTGCGATTGTCAATTCTGCGTCATGCTGGTCAGCTTTTGAGACCGCAGAGGCTTTGCTTGGCTGGTCACTTGAGGTCTTTTTGTTGGGTCATCGGCCGACTGATCAATATCAACCACGGCTTAATGTTGTTGAACAAGAACGTTTCCTTGCGTCACTGGACATTTACCGCCTGGTGCTGAATGAACACAGAGCCTCCCGTATCTTCCTCTCCGCCGACCTCGCGTCCACTTCCCCAGCAAAATCAAGTACCGGTACTAAACCCGTCCTGTGTCTCACTGGTTCCGGCGGTCCACACCTCAAGTCCTCTGTCTTCCCAGATCGGTGGCTTACAATTGAAGCTTGTGGTTCCTTCGAGGAGCTCCCGACCCACCAAAGCTCCCTCTTGTTCCCCGCAAAGCACGCAAATGCAGCTGGGAAGCAAAAGGACTGGGAACTGGGATCCTTGACCCAGAACCCAAAAGCCAATCCGAGATGACGACCAAGTCCGTCCCGATCTACAGAGTTCACACCGTCAAGTACGGGTGTTCCTTGGGCTAACCTCACAGTCCACAGAGTCGCAGTCGAGTGACGAAAGGGCGCTTTTCCTTGACCCAATGCGTGCTATGCGTTCTCCTCTTCCAATTCCCTTGCTCATCCCGTCCAAGTATCCCGTCACTCGTTCCCCGCGGGTGAGGAACCTCGATGCTGTTTGTGCGCCCTCCGCCTCGGCCTCGGAGCTACCCATGCCTTACCAAATTGCTTCTGGCTTCTCTCTGTCTGTCCATGCTGCTTCTGTTTCTAGGCAAGGTAGGCAAGGTAGCTGTGGATGGACATGGCTTTGTGGAACCGACCGTCGTGACTTGCCTCGTGCCTTTCTTTGCCAACCTCACTCCCCTTCTTCGTGTCTCGTTCCCCGACTTTGACCTCCTTCCTACATCAACATTGTGAAGCTTCCTCACTCCTGTAGCCTCAGAAATTATCGCAAATATCTCTCGTATCCATTATTGACTTCGCTGCGTCGCGCAAACACACGCTCATAAGCTAGAGCCAGCCTGCGACACCAATTGTTACGTCATCATCATGTCGGACGGAATCGCCCCAGCTATAGACAAAGGTATGTCCCATCGCCAGTCGTCTCAATGGCCTCCTTTCCATCGCGTTTGATGCAGCGCTTCGCAATTGGCATGTTGGCGATGTCCGTTTCGACCTCCGTGGCTCAAGACTGCGCTTATACACGGAATTCTGAGCTGACATGCCCTAGTCGGCGCACCTGAACCCACGGCCCCCGAGGCCGAGGGCGGCGCTCCCACTTTGGACACCGCGACAGCTCCTTCGGAGCCTGCCAAGCCGGAAGAATCCAAGCCAACTGAGGGACCCGGTGGTCTCAGCGCCCCGCCGAAGCCCGTTGAGGTTGCGTCTGTGCCAGAGACACCCGTCAACAATATGACACCCGCAGGCGGCACGCCACGACCCGTGCTCAACCTCGAAGAAGAGCCAAAGGAAACGCCAAAGAATGAGGACGAGAATGCATTTATCACTGATGCTCCAACATCGGCGCCTGCTGTCTCCGCCCCAAAGGATGTCCCTATGACTGACAATGCCGCCGACGACAAGCCAGCGGGCATCAACGGCGCCAGTAAGCCTGAGGTCAACGATGTCGCCGAAGCGGCTGCAGGCGAAAAGCGTAAGGCTGAGGAGCCTCCTGCTGCCACCAACGGCGCATCTAATCCCGCTGCGACAGAGAAGTCGGAGTCGGAGGAGCGTGCGGAGAAGAAGGCTCGCGTTGAAGACGTCGCAGATGAGCCGACCGCCACTGAGAGTACTTCGCCAAACGGTAAGCACGAAAACGGGAAGGCTGCGAAGAAGGACAAGAAGGTCACCCCAGTTGCTGGGAAGACGGCACGCAAGACGCGAAGTCAAGGTCCTGTTGAGGTTTAGTAGCAATGCGAATTCGCAGGCTTTTCCTTAATCTATCATGATGGTTTATGAATGCTGCAGCACATGATTTAGGGGTGGGACGGCGAAAATGGCGGATGGGAACGGGAAAAGGAACATCATCCCGAGATCTGCCTGGTTCAAGGATTTGTGAGTATATTTGTGCGTCAGGTAGTAAACACTGTTTGCATTTGCCATTTCATTAATTATACAGTGCTTTATTGATAAGAATGGTCTATTAGCGATTGCGTCTGCCCTGATATTGCTGTACTAGACTGATAACACCTACGCTGCTCATTCAAGCTAAGCCCAACCAAGTACCGAAGACCCATCCATAGTTTCCTCCGTCCATAGCGGCATTCTCGGGGATCCGCCTCGGAGAAGTGGAGTAGGTTCTGAACGTCAAGGCCGGGATGCAACTTTCGTTTGCCAATTGGCGGAGTTTGTGTTGAGATTTCATGATAGTTCGTAGGGGCGAGGTGAAGAGCTGTCTATATGCTGGTTGATTTGTTTATGGTAATCGTGAATGAAGTGAGTCGTGCTGAGCTGACAAGGAAAGAGAAGAATGAAAGCATCAAGAGATGCCTCAACAAATTGGTACCGAGAATGCTCATTATTGCTGAAGCGTTGTAGTAATTCTCATGATGTACTTTTCTTTGAGCTGTTGCGGTCGAATTCTGGTGTTGGGATGATGGAGAGAATGACTTGAGAGACATGGTTCTTTGTGGACACTTCGCTCTCGAGTGTCCAAACCTGATCAAATGTTGGCGCCGACAAAATTGATACCGGTTTGGGTTGGTATCTACCCCCAATGAATAACATTTTGTGTGAGATCTAGTACCAATAGTACTGCACGGCAGTAAGATAGAGATCGTTTATCTCCTCAACCTGCTGAGCCTCAGCCTCTGGGGATCCGCGTCTGCCATATACTGTAGCAAAGAGACCACAAGTTGCCACGACCGCCATAAGAACCAGGAACTCCAGAAAAGACTGCTTGCTCTTGAATGGCCAGAGTAGGCAGTGTAGCCCCTCTTCAATCGCGAAGAGCATATTCCCGAACAGCACGAATACAGCGACTGCGAAGAGCGTCTGTCTATAGACGTGGTGACACAAGTAGTACTCGAGGCGGTGGATAAGGCTGAGATGGCTGGGAGCAGCTGGCATAGGGCCAGTGAACATCTTGAGGATGCAGCCGTAGGGTATAGCCAAAATGACCCAAAGTGTGTATATCACATACATGACTGTTGGTTTCGAAATGAGGATCTCGGTATGAGTAGTAGTGAGCTGATATTGTATGCGTAGCTTGCCGACTCGCGAGTTCGATGCTGGGATTCTTGGTGTGAGGGAAATAAAGAAGAGGGAAATGAGTGACGACGAGTAGCAAAGGAGTGCTATTTATACCATTGTGTAAGAAACAAAGTTCTCAGACTTTGCTCTGTTGCCTTGCACAAACATCGATAGGGTTCATACAAGTGGAAGTTATTCACCACCAATAAAGACTTTTTCGAAGCTTAAAAGGCGAACCTCGAATGAGATGAAGGGAGTTCACAGAAAGTTTTGTGAATATATGAAGCTTTGCGATGCGCAAAAGAATGAGGCAACTTATTGTCCATCTATCAATCTTTCTCCAATGGGAGAGACTCTAACTTAAGTTCTAGGCACCCAAGTGGAGGCAACAAACCATAGGACCTCCATCCCAAATGATCGAAAAGATTTAGGTTAATTTAGGGAAACTTAGGGGAGAGTCAGAAGGCATTTAGACTAGTTGGCGTTTTTAACATCTAAGCTTAGGGTCTGAAGTTATCTTACTTCCCGAACTACCTGATGAGTTATGGTCCTGGCTGGAACTACGTGCAACGATTCTATAGTTGTTATCGCTCAACGATGTGTGGTAGCGAGTGTACTTACCTATGTTGGTATGAAGAGAAGAAAATCCACGAGCCTTGCAGTGAGGGAGAGCACAGTAGTAACAGACTGGTGGACTCATGAAGTTGCGCGTTCAAGTTTGGGTAGAAACTGCATCTTCAAAGACAATTCAGTAATGTTAAATGTAGAGGGGCCAATATACACGATCAAAGTAACAGCTTTGACACTGCTATTAGGATACAGTCTAAGTAAGCATCTAAGTCTCGACGAGGTCACGCAGTGTATCGTATGTTGCTTCTCTCTACTAACCATATCTCTGAACTAAATCTCTCATAACGTCAAGAACCCTGTAACACAATTAGGAGCTAACCATACAACAGTTCAAGAATGGCCTCACTGTGTGCGAAGTGTCTCATTGTCAACAAAAAGGGCCGACACGTGAGTGTCAAATCTGCTGGCTTGACGTCAGTCCCAGTGATTAGGAAGAGATATATTTGCTTCTTTACTCACAGCCTATAGAGGTCTAGCCGACCCTCAAAATCCTCTTCGGGTGCCGAGATCTGGGCAAATGTGTTGTATGCAGCGACGTACTCATCTCCAAACCTATTACAAGCTGGTCGCCATTGGCCAAACTCATCTATGAAAAAGGTTGGTTAGCACAAGTGATATCTTCTGTCGGGTAAGGAATTCCGGGAACGCACATTCGTTATGTGCAAAGAAGCAGCATGCATCGAAAACAAGAGGTTGGTCGCTCTCGACATCAATCCCTGCATTTGCATACCAAAGGTCGCCATGAATCAACGAAGGTTTCACAGTCCGGCCGCCACTCTCGAGAGGCCTCAAGAGCCTCGGGATAACCTTCTCGAAAAGCGCTTGCGAAAGAGCCTCAAGCTCATCACTGTTTCCTTTCACCGCGATCTCCAGGTCAAGAGCCTGTCTCATTGACTTGGTAAAGAATTTCTCCCAGCTATCTTCCCATGCCACGTACTGGGGCAAATTTCCCGCGTAGGTTGTGACGTGGAAGCCGAACTTTCCAATAGGTGAGGCACTTTTCTGGTGCATCGCTGACAGACGAGAAGCAAACTCGTCAGGGTCGGGCATATCCTCCGTCATTTCTCGAAACTCACAGACGAAGAAGTGCGTGTCTGGAATGTTCTCGTAAGTGCCGCAAGCGATGGGCTTTGGGACGAATTCTGGTACGACTCCATGTATCGCGCTCATCGAATGGAATTCCCCCTCTGTCATGCTCCTGCCTATTTCCTTCGATAGGACTTTGATGAAAAACGACTGAGGTGTGCCATCTTTGAGAAGAACTTCAATTCGACCCGTCTTTGCCCAGAAGCTCACACCATGGTTCTCGATGGATGTGACTTTGCATCCCTCTGGTAGCTCTTATCAAGCAGTCAATACGGGAACGATCTTCCAAGTCCATAGGGCTTCTAAGGTATAGTAGCTTACCCCTCAATACGGCTGGGTCAATGTTGGTGTTGCCCGAGTCGAAATCGTAACCCTTTGCATCGTTATAATTCATTTCAAATCTCTTCGGATTTTTTTTATTTCATTGCCTAAATTGCTATGTTTGTCCAGGCTCTTGGGTAGGGAATAGGTTTATTATACCTACCTACACAGCGTTTGTGGTTGGCGTGCTTGCACTCACTGCTAACATTGGATGGTCGACTGGTCCAATCGATAAGCGCCCATCACGAAACCTAGGTAAGTATAGATGGCGGCTAACGGCGTCCATAATCGGTCACTGTTGCTATGGATCTTTATTTGATTTGGCAATGCATGAAAATAAAAACTCCTTGCTTTTAATAGTCATTTGATACGATATCTACTAGATATGAGGCCGGAGTTTTGTGAGAAAATGCAATGAGGCTACAGTTCTTTGCATCATACGGAGTACATTTATGTATTTACGGCATCCCTCTCCAAAGTACTAAGCGTACCTAGGTTTTGTCAAAGTCTAGTGGCTTATGCGGGCCGTTCCGGTGCACCGGCACCCTTATTCTTCATCTCAGCGCAACCAATTCAAGTCTTTCAATGTCCGGCCATTGAGATCTCCATGATTCTGTCGTGCCAATGTTCGACGGGATACACGACCTTGACACCATGTGCCTCGAGTCTTTCCAGTCCGTCATTGTTTGCAATAAACGTTCCAGGTTCCCTGATGCCCACATAAACAGTCTTGATAGCACCCCTGAGTCTCAAGATTCTAGTCGCGCAAGTCATGTTGCCGCTCAGCCTCTCATTGCAAGGCTCCATAGTTGTGTACAGCACAGTATTTGGTGGAAGGACTTCGTGTATGCGTTCCTCGGGAAGGTTGTGCTCGTCGGCGATCTTGATAAAACAACAGTGCTCTGCGTGTGTGGTGCCTGGATCTCCTTTGTAGTCTCTCGGATATTCAAGCGAGTACCCTGTCGATAAGACCCTGCCTTTGGCTGCATCTACAAGTACTGCCCCAACACAGAATTTGTTGCCAGCTGGCGGCGACTTTTTGGCTTGGGTGAGGGCAAACTCCATGAAAGCTTCATGGTCGCCAACTTCGAACGTCGGACTGGTCTCAGAAGCCATGGCAAGTGAAAATGAGGCGATAAATGAATAATCTGTTCAGTGAACGTAGTATATTTGCTGGTATCGGAGAGAGTCCTGTTGGTAATTTTCATTTTAGAGCGTCGTACTTGTAATTAGCCCCTCCACTTACAGATGGATAGAGCCGAGAGCCGCGACCCTTTGCATCAGTCCGAATAACGAAAGTTGACGCCCCACGCACGCACTGATGCACATCAAGTTTCATGGGCTACAATGGTTAACCTACTGCCTGAGTAGACAGCTATTGAAAATCCGTTTGCTGACTGTGGCTGTTATCGAAAGCAGCGGCGCTCAAAGCCTGACCTGCATCCAAGCAACTCCACAAGCAGTCGCGACTCGACCAAGAGCCTGAGGAGTTTATTTCCCCTGTCGAAGCCGCAGTCCAGGACCACAACAACCCCGGACGAGCAATCAAAGGTCGATAAGGGACCCCTAGGCCTAAATCTTCTATATTGCCTAACAGAGCCTGAGATCGACCTCATGTTCGTTCATGGGTTGGGAGGCAATTCAAGAAAGACATGGAGCAAGTCGTTCGCAGACCAGCTTCACTACTGGCCCGAGGATCGGCTCTCCCAGGACCCAGCATTCAGAAATGTCCGTATCCATAGCTATGGATATGTCTCGTACTATTTGAAGGGTAAGGAGGATTGCTTGAATGTTCATCACATTGGCAAGTCATTCCTAGGTGCGGTTAGCATTGCGCCATGTATTGCTAATTCCAAGACCTACATTATCGTTATCGGCCACAGCATGGGTGGACTGGTAATGAAGAAAGCGTACATCCTGGCGAAGCAAGATACAGAACACCAAACTCTGGCTGGACGTTTTGCCGCTTTCTATTTCCTCGCTACGCCACATAGTGGTGCCAACTCAGCAAAGATGCTCAAGAACCTGCTCAAGATCGCGTACGACCGTGCCTATGTTGGCGACCTAGAGCCGAACTCTGAAGCAGTTCAAGTGATTAATGACGAATTTCGCCACTTCTCGGCTGACCTTGAGCTCTGGTCGTTTTATGAAACACAGAATATGAAATAGTTCAGCTCACTTATTGTCGATCCTGAATCAGCCGTCCTTGGATACCGTGGGGAGAAGCAAATACAAACTGCTGACCATTGTTCAATATGCGAGTTCGACACACCTCAGGATTCTAATTACACACTCCTAAGAGACTCACTTGCCTCGACAGTGACCAAGATCACTACGGCATTTCCGGAGAAGAGGCATGAAATGATCAAGAACCTCAAGAATTACCTACAAGTTTTCGATATGTTGGACGATGATCTAGCAAACGTTTGCGAATCTCGGATGCCTGGATCGCGCGAGTGGATTTCGAACAAAGACAATTACATCAAATGGAGGGACGGTGAAGAAGGTGATGGCAAAGCGTTATGGATCAAAGGCAGGTCCGCAACTGGGAAATCCATCCTGGCTGGTTACGTTGTCGATCAGCTCAGGGAGTCTGGCCAGACTTGCAGCTACTTCTTCTTCAAACACGGAGACAGGTCCAAGGCTTATCTGGGCCGTTGTCTCCGGCGTCTGGCCTTTCAGATGGTGGTATCGAACGCTGAGGCTAGTGATACCATTCTAAAGATGCAGACGGATGGTATTTCTTTCGACGGCATCGACGAACGCACGCTCTGGAGGGTCCTGTTTCTTTCTGGTATTTTCAGGGTTCCCATGGCTCGGCAATACTGGGTCATCGATACGTTGATTGAGTGCTCAAACCCTCTGGTGCTTTTGCAGGCCACTCTTTCCACCATGGACGAGTCCACACCACGAATCCTAGTCACTAGTCGAGACACGGTCGAGTTAGATCAAGGTGTCGTGGTCATCCCACCAAACATGGTCCAGATTCTGCCAGTAACGATAATGGATACAATCAGATCTCAGACTCTTGATCGAAAGTCGGAGCCAGGCCTTGGCAATAGCTAGACCCCAGGACCGAAGCGAACTAGCTGAGACGATTTTAGATATATCGAGGGGGTCTTTCTTGTGGACGATTTTGGTCATCGAGGAACTCCAACACTGCCACAGTAGAAAGGAAATTCACCAGATTCTTGAAACGTGCCAAGGGGCATGAAATCACTATACAAGCGGACTCTCGATTACATGTCACAAGTCAGTCGAGGGAAGGAGTTGGCCAAAGCCATTCTATTGTGGGCAGCATGTGCGGTTCGGCCAATGACGATCGGTGAGCTAGATGGTGCTTTGACTTTGGATATCCACGACTCGTTCCCGGACTTGGGGGAGAGCATTGCAACGCTCTGCGGTCAGTTGGTGGTCGTTGATAAGCAAGGGCGAGTTAACATGGTGCATGAAACAGCCAGAGAATTCCTCGTATCCGGTGGGTCAAGATCGGAGTTCTCAATTGACGAAACTCAAGCACACACTCGAATGGCTGAGGTGTGTCTGAGTTACCTCGTGGGAGATGAAATGAAGCCCCCAAGGAACAGGCGTCGCCGATCTGCGGCGAACTTGCCAACAAGACAGGACTTTGCTATCTATGCATACACAGCATACTCATATCACCTGTCGAAGGCTGATTCGTTGGCTGCAGGGACATTCCAGCTTGTCACTCAATTCCTGAAATCCAATGTGCTCACTTGGATCGAAACGATGGCCGGCTCCCAAAATCTCACGCCACTCATTCGTGCTTCTAAACATCTCAAATCCTACATTAGTCGGTGTGCTGTTGAACGCTCACCACTAGACCCTCAGATGAGGGCACTGCAGCAATGGAGCATGGATTTTGCTCGAATTCCTGCCATGTTCGCTAATGCTCTCGCGGTTTCACCCTCAGCGATATACTCACTAATATCCCCATTCTGTCCTTCTGAGTCCATGATATACGGATTAGGGAGCTCAAATCAGAAACTCGCAGTCCCTGGTGCGTCCAATGAGCAATGGGATGACAGAATATTATGCGTCGATTTCCGTACGGGTCAACTAAAGGCTTTACGCTATGGAAACGGCTTTCTAGCTATCGCATTTGGCTCAGGGACAGTCATACTGTAGTATGCTGCAACCCATCAGGAGTACAAGGCCTTTGAGCATGGCGAATCTGTCAACTCGATTGCCTTCAAGACTGGATCCGACCTCATGGCAACGTGTGGTATCAAGATAACCAAGATCTAGGATATCAGAACTGGGCAAGTGGTCCACACCCTCGTCAACCCGCCGCGTCCGCTGGGTATGGAATTTGACGGAGATACGCTCTTCATTGCAAGTCGCAAAAACTTCATAGACAGTTGGAAGTTGAGTCATAATGTCCAACCCGAGTTGGTGCGCAGACCATGGGGTGATGCCAATACACCAGAGACGAACAGGATACCTCTAAGCGGGGTTCCGTGCGCTCTTACTCTCTCCACCAGCCATGGCATGCTTGCTGTCGCCTATAATGGTCAGCCTATTATCCTATGGGATATGTAAGAGGACACTTATGCCGGTAGCTGCGGAAAGAAGCTCTCCAGTGGGGAGACATCCACGTATGTCATCGTAGCGCTTGCGTTCAACCCCAATTCCGACATGGGCCTTCTTGCAGTCGCATATCTCGACGGTGATCTCGCCCTGCTTGACCCTTATACCGACCGGCAGCTGGAGTGTTTTCGGGCCAACTGCCAAACCCTCGCCCCAAGCCCCATTGGACGTTTTCTTGCAGCAGGTTGTGCCAATGGAATCACCCATATTTACGAATTTGATACTTTTAAACTCCTCTATATGGTCAAGTCAAGTAACTCATATATCAAGCAGCTTGCTTTCTCCAAGGACAGTATGCTACTTGCCGATATATGAGGTAGCCAATGCACAGTCTGGAAACCTGAAGCACTGTTACGGGAGTCTCGAAGCGATGACAGTAGTGGCCTAACTTCTGCAACATTGTTTGAGACGGTTTCCCTGGAGGCGAAAGCCAAGATTACTTCTATGGCGGTCCATCACAAGTCTACAGTCATCCTTTGTGGCAAGGATGATGGGTCGGTCGAGCTATATGAGCGAAAGAATGCAGCAAGTTTGGGGATCCTCTACAAGCACAAATCTGCAGTTCGTTTGTTGGTTTGGATTGAAAAAAAAGATGCTCTCCTCAGTGTCGATGCTTCTAACCGGATCTTTTTATACATGATCCAGAAGTCAGCGGACAAAGGGTGGCTCAATGAGCCAGCAGAACTCTTCGAGACCCGCCTCGACTCTGAGAAGGCCATCACAGATGTCTCAGTGGGAGAGGCCGCAGCCAAATTCCTGGTGTCAACTCGCGAGTCTGACCATCTATTCGACTTGAAAGACGGCAAGAGTGAGATGGAGCGAACACACCCACAAATACCAGGCACCCGGAAATGGCTCCCCCATCCGAAATCCGCCCAACATCTGATCTGCGTGGACAATGTCAAAATATGCGCCCACAGCTGGTGCGACTTGACTGAAGTCTCTTCAGTGAAATTTCAATTGGACGACCAGACAGGAGAACTTACGAATGCGACCCTGTATTCACTTAGTCAAGAACACAGAATCATGCTCCATTTGGTGCATCCAAGAAGTTCCACAAAAACCAACAGAATTGCTGTCATCAACCTGGACCATCTTCCTGTCCAAGGCAGCGACCTTAGCCTCTCACAAAGGAAGCAAACATATGATTTGGCGACAATTGCTCAATCTACCACTGATGGAGACAAGGGAGATATGTTCAAGCCGTCAGACCTGCCCGCCGCACTTAATTGGCGTGTGACTCAATTTGAACTCGATATTGCTCATTTCATAGGAGTTGATGACTCAAGCAAACTCATATTCCTGAACCAGTCTTGTTGGGTATGCTCCGTTGATCTAAGCGCCAGCGGATTTGATATTACCCAGCGTGAAGGCGACTCTTTAATAGAGGTTTCTGAGCACATTTTTATTCCGCACGACTGGTTTGCTGGAAAAAAAGACATTGTTTGTGTCTTGGCGAAGGGAGATGTCGCACTCACCCGAGGCGGCGACCTGGCAGTAATCCGGGGTGGTATTGAGTATAACGAGGCCGCGTTTCGTACGGTGGTCTGGACTGCGACGTGATCTTTTCAGGCTCGGATATCGAATAGTTATTTAACAAATAACATATCTGCAAGGCTGCTGCTTCAACTTGACTTCCCTATTGCTTGGGTCTCCTTCACAACAGACACATCAAACCGTCCATCACTCCTCGCCGAAGATACGTCGCCCGCTTTTCATGCTTCTTCAATCTTAGGATGAATAATCCAAGAGTTTTTCTTGTGTTCCCTTTCTAGAGGGAGCTCCAAAGTTGCGTAACACCTTCGGCTACAAGCCCACTGCCTGCTCCGTCTCACTTCACTTACATGGCTCGCTACTAGTACTATCTGTCTCATAGGCAATGCTTAATTAAGTTCCTAGGAATTCTCTCTGTCGGATGATTTGTTGCCATTGAGGCCATGAAAATGGGTAGCAAAGCCTGGGGGACCGCGAAAACTGAGTTCCCAGATGATGGCCCGCAAGTTACAAGAAAGCACTGCTGCTTGTCTTGCCTCTAACATATCCGAGGCCAACCTTCTCAAGAAATTGCAAAGTGGTGGAAAACAGATACTCTGTATTAAAGCTTAATCTTGAGATGCAAATGACAACGAGTCTCACTGTGATGGCGAACGAGCCTAATCTGAGTCTCTACCGGTTTTCTGGCAAAGTTCTGGCAAATTTAGTGGTTTTTATAAAGACAATTACTATAATCATCTCATGTATTCCGAGTACCAGCATGATCAAGCCGACTGACACTGGTCTGACATCCAAGAGAAGAGGTCGGACGATCAAGTCAAACTTATTCAGCCCTATATTATGCCACAGATAAATTTAGACAGAGTCTGACCTGAGTTCTCATCCACTGACATCACCCGTCTTATGACTACGGAATCCTCCGCGTCTTAAGTTAGAGTGAGAATCCGCAATCAAGGCCATCGTACCTCTGAGTGATCCATTGCTAGGAAATTATGAGCAGTAATGCATTTTAATTTCTTTTTCAGTCTACAAATGGACATTGTAAATTGGGTTAAAATCTTCATTAATAAGTCCGCGTGAGGTAGGAAACAAGATCCAACGCCAGATATTGAAGGCGGTGATGCTTGTCAGCGAGATTCGTTGTCGCTCAAGAGAACTTCGTTGAACTGTAGGACACAGAATACCATTTGTCCTGTTATATACAGCTGCGATATTCTGGTCTGGGTATGCCCCTCTTCCTTGTGTCCCAAATTCTGAGTGTTATTTTCTCTCGCACCTCCCCAGGGTTTGGCCCAACTTTGATGTCTCTCTTAGCAATATCAGAACCGCAAAATGCTTCTGTGAGCTATGGATCTCCTCCCCGACAATGCCCGGTACCTGAACGTAGGTCCAGCCGGGGGCCAAAACCACTTCTTCATTAGTTTGGGTCCCCCGGGCCCGCAGATTTGGCCTTCGATATCGATTTAAACGACCAAAGCCCCTTCTTCATCAGCCTGCGCTTTCAGCTCTATCACCAGCTTCCAGCTTTCAACTACAGCAGTGGCCAAAACCACTTCTTCATTAGTTTGTGCTTTCAGCTCTATTACCAGCTTCTAGCTGCAACAGCAACCAAAACCACTCCTTTACTAGCTTGTGCTTCCAGCTCTATCGGCCAGCTTTCAGCTACAACCAACAAGACCCAAAACCCCTTCTTCATTAGCCTGTGCTTTCGGCTCTATCACCAGCTTGCATCAATTACAGCAGCGGCCAAAACCACTTCTTCATTGGCCTGTACTTCCAGCTCTATTACCAGCTTGCAGCTTTCAACTACAGCAGTGGCCAAACCCACTTCTTCATTAGCCTGGGCCTTCAGTTCTATCAACGTTACGACTGCCGAATCCGCAATGGACTTGAGTGCGACCCCTTTCTCTCTCCATCAGCAATATCTGTCCTCCAGCGATACAACATTTTCGAGTTATTGGTATGTCTCAAGCTCTTATTACTGTGAACATAGTCTAATTCCAGCATAGAATGCTTCTCAAATAAGCCGGCAACCAGATCTTGCTCATGCTTATTTGCACTACGACCATACCAGCAACCAACACCCACATGCAGGATGCCAACTGTGCAATCCTCGAGTACCAACAACCTTCGATGCCCTAATCTGTGGATGACACCAACTACACCAAACTTCTGGCTATCGAAAAAAAGGACGCTTAGAGGCCTCTGAAACTCTCAATCGAGCTCTATGAGTCAACGTTCATGGACGCCCGCCGCCGGGCATCCAGTTATTCTGGACCTCTTTCAATCAAGGCTTCACCCCTACAAGTTGCTCTCATAGTCACCCCAAACAACCCAACAAGCACCCTGTGGCGACATAGTTTGCAGCGCCTTCATTGGCCTTCTAGAAGTTTTCAAGTGCTAAGCCTCTCAACCCTATATTGATGGTCGTTCGTGGGCAATGCCGCCCACAAGGCACCCAGCCATCACTTCTGAGGCTCTCAAACGGCGGTATTTTGTTCTTGTCCCCCTCAAAATCAGTCCCAAACGGAAGGCCGCCCTTACTTCCTCATCATAGTCGACTGCCAGATTCATACTCAAGTTCCAGGGGCTGTTTGCCTTCAAATCCCCTACAGCTGCCAGACGCCATTCCTTACATCAGCTTCCTTGGGTTCGCAAAGGTACCGCATTGATTCTATACTTCTCTTCTCAAGAACAATCGCTCGCGGAACTTCTCCACTTATCCTGGAGCTTCGACTGCGATTTGATGTTGCCCCTTTTCGGGAACAGCGTGGTTCAGAAGTCCAACCTTGCATACTCACCTGTGATACTATATCAGCAAGAAGATGTACAATCTGCCCTACCCGGGCCATTTGTAACCGAAATCTAAGCCTGGAAGTGTCTCTTAGCCTGCTATCTTCGCCATACTGCGGCTTACCGGTGCCTGTTTATCAATATGTGGCCGCCTTTACTTGGAGAGCTTGGGAAACATGAAGATTATATCGGCTCTCGGAATGCTGAAGTTCTTTGATCACCGTTCCTTTCTAAATCTTACCCTGATGGCCGGACCGCTTCACTCAGCTATGTGACCAGGACCAAGGGATCTTGGTATCAATCCTCATTTGTGAAGGTTCTGCAGTGGCCAGTGGAATAAATTGGTGTATTTCTCCTGTTCAAAGTGATACTTCGAGCCCATCCTCAACAGAAGAATACAGAGGGAGTCCATAAGATAGCTTCGGCAATGTTAATACAGACCGAGTATCTATTTTCCTACACTTTTGCAGTGTCTTGAGAACGTGGGCCTCAAGGACCCAGCAAACTTCCCTACCCTAAGCACCTGAGTCAGGTGCCAAAAATGTGAAGGATTCCTCAACATGTGAAGATTTTGTTTATAGCTTTTCATCACTTCGGATAGGTAGAGATGCTAAGCTTCTTTTTCACGATGGGACCATAGTTGCGTAGATAAAAACGTACCTCGGATGAGGCCTCGTGGAATCGTACACGTCACGTGGCCACATCACGAAGAGAAAATGTTTTCCTTTTTGTTGGTTGTTTCAGAATTGCGAACAAGCTTTGGTAGCTCGACGGGCCACTCGGCACATAAAACGTGAGATATTTTTTGGGGGAGGGACTTTGGGTTTCCCGATTTGACACGATTTGTTTTCCCAATTGCGATCGGGTTGCGTGTCGATATGTCATTGAGCATGAACCATTTTACTAACTTGTAAGTGGCGAGTCGCGGCGGGTAAAAGGGCCTTGGTACTGGGCATCGATCAAGATCCATCTGGTTTTTATTTTTGTTACAGGGAAAGGGCGTGAGAATGAGAATGAGTGAGATTCAGTAAATGAATGAATGGTAAGGCGGTTGAGGCGCAAGTGTCAGAAACTGCGATTAATTAATTATTTATTATCATTCATGCCACTCAATCCATGTCAGGAACAATGCATGACATGTCTCTCAAAGGCCACCTTGAAAGTCAACAAAGAGAGAGAGCAAAAAAAAAGATCGGCGTCGTATAAAGGATCGATCGCCAAAACTTTGACATCAACCGTTTGGCCAGCAAAGTGCCAGTGCCAGTGCCAGCGCCAGCTAGAGCATCCCATCACTTTCCCCTTCTGGAAGAGCAAGTCTGTTGGAATGTTCGTATTCTCAGCGTCTTTCGAGACGCCAAAAAAATTCACGTCCCAGTTCCAGGGGATCCATCCAATGCAGGGGCAGAGGCCGAGAGGCGTGGCGTATCCAGAAGCTTGAGGGAGGGAGACGATTGGCTGACAGGGGTCTCCCGGCCCGTGCTACGGTTGAAGAGGGTCCCCACTGTAGCGGGTCGAGAGGCGTCAAAAATAGCAACTTGAGAGTCTGAAGCTGGGACTTGGTGAGGTCTTATCCCCACGGAGGCCGCGTGCCAGGGTAAACAGTTGGTTGTTTGTTTGTACCTAGTCCGTACGGAGATGGTATGAAGACTGCAAGAAACCAGCAATACATCGTATTTCTAGGAATGAGAATGATGGTGCTGTTGGCATTTTTATGTGGTCATTGACTGACACTGTTGATCACAGGTCTCGATCATTCTATCATGGCTAGCGCTTGGTTGAGCATCTCTAAAACAGGGGACTTTTTATTGGCTTCATTCACTCGCTCGCTCACCCTCACGCTGCCACATTGATGCATAATGGTTGCCAAGCTTTTTCTACTGATGGCTTCCCCAAAAGAAAAAAAACTGTCTACCTGACTGTAGAGTCTAACCCCCATGATAATAGGATCCATCCCATGTCATTGTCATGGCTCCTTAGTTCTTAGTCTTGTCTTAGTCCGAATAGAACCTCCACCCCCAGCCCTACTTTACTTTTACCCTTCTTTACCTTTACCTCCTTCTTTACTCTACTTTACTCAACCTTAACATCACATCTCTCCGTACCATCGGACCTTGTTCAGTTCCTTTGTTTCTTTCTTTTCATATTACCCCATCATCGTCGCCTGTCCCTGAGTGACGCCATATTCCGTTCGCTTCGCCCCTTTTGGCGCCTCGTCCTTTCGCTCACGGACCTTCCCGACTAAGCTTCTTTAACGACACAGCGACTCTCGTTTACCA